CCTATCAACGCGCCACGCTCTGATTATGTCATCGTACCTTGAGTAACATTGAGTGCCGGTTGACGGCTGGTATGTCTGAAAATCACTCGCGATCGCTCACGAACTCCAGGCATAAACGCTTCGACCGTTACATATTAACTGGCCTTGATCTCCGCATGGCTTAATAAATAGCAGTATTTGAATGACGTCATTGTGACGTCATGAGTGTCAAGGTGACTCTGAAATACTCTCCCTATTTTCGTGGGCGTGTGGCTCAGAAACTACAGTGACTTGGGTTTAAGAAGGGTGGTATTATGAATAACACCGAAAGGTCTTCAAGATGGTGATTCAGCTCAAAACCCCATATAAGTATGGAACACTTCCTTTAAGCTATTTTGACATATTGTACCCACGTGCCTTTAGTCTATGATTTAAGTTTGGCATATATGATAAAGGGTTAGAATTTTCATCCACCGTCATGTCTATGTAGATGTTTAAGCGTCAGAGGCATATTCTCGGGCGTACATCCCGTACATTTCAACGAACTGTGTCTCTAGATGGCGCAACCCAAAGCGAAAATGTAATTCCTTATCCGGATGAGCAGCTTAAGTCTGATACCTTAAAGTTAATTAATGATTGCATAACCACTCAGCAATCCATGTGTTCATTGATGTTCTTGATATTGATGAGCACTGCATGTCCGAGAAACCAGAGGTCCAGGGTTCGATTCCCCGCGGAGCCCGCTCTTTCCGCCAGGGCAAGGAGCAGGCGACCCCAAACAGCCTCAGCAGCTGAGTGCGCCGTAAAGTAATGACGATGTTCTTGATATTGAACAAGATTGATAGTGCAACTAAATGGCACCTGAGAGGTGCTATACATTTTTGCATCCGAGAACCGCTAAATGGTCCCATCCTCTGCTGTTTGGAACGTACCAAAGTACCATTTTGAACTTTGTTCAGAATAACACTTTGAGCTCAAAACCAACCATGCGTACAATCAGCCAACAAATATTAAAGGTGAGCAATATCTTTTTCGTTCGACACTTGCAAAGTGACCTCACATGACCTGATGACGATCTGGTGCAATCCTTAACATTGTTACTGACTTGGGAAAGTCAGCAACAATGGCGATGTCGGCCGGAAATAAGAAAATTATACCGGGCTAATCATAGAAATAATAATAGAAATAACACTGGGCTTCCAATAAGAAAGACTACTGGGCTATTTCATGCAGAGGCCACAATCTAACTGCAAGCCTTCACTGGTGCCGTCAAACACGTGACCTTCACCTAAAGGCGATGCACTCTAAATTTTTGCAACTGATTATCACATGCAAATGCAATGCAAAGCGGCGCAGATTTGTTGAACCACCTGGCGTACTCGGAAGTTGCTTTCAAATTTGGAGTAATTAATCCCTACTTTACGGCCATTGCATTAAAAAACTGTGTCCTAAGCATATTGCCCGGTCCAGACGTTTTTACTCACTTTAGCTACTTAAACCCCAAGCACGGAAGTGGAAGGAACGACGCTCGATGTTGAAAAGTTGGCAAGTGGCAGCCATTAGTGTAAACATGCTGTCTAAGTCACGCTGAAGCATCGTCGGGCTATGCGGATCCATGCACGTGTAACCCACATTCAGTGGCGTAACATGAGTGAGCTTTGGGCCTTACCCCACCCTCTCCCTAGAAGTGGCGGTCCCGCTGAAGCGGTAGGGCCCATGAAATCTTTGGGCCGTTTGAAACGTCCGTAGGGCTTCTAAAACATACAAGGGCTGTGGCGTCACACTGGGGGCATCGAGCCCAAAAAGGTCCTAATAATTTTGGCCCCTATAGTGACGAAGACGAGGGTCCCTTGCCTGAAAGGGCCCATATGACCCAATTTGGCCCCCTCTTGGGGAAATCCTGACTACGCCACTAACACCGATGGCGAGCAAGTCAGCAAGCAAGTTATACGATCGTAAGCCAAGTCGCAGGAAAACTGGACAACCCCACTCGACATTCCCACTGGGTTGCGCATGCCCATGTCCCCGCTGTATCCAGACTTACGCATGCCGATGTCCTCGCTGTGTCCAGACTTACGCATGCCGATGCCCTCGCTGTGTCCAGACTTACGCATGTCCATGTCCTCGCTGTGTCCAGACTTACGCGTGCCGATGTCCTCGCTGTGTCCAGATTTACGCATGTCGATGTCCTCGCTGTTTCCAGACTTACGCATGCCGATGTCCTCGCTGTGTCCAGACTTACGCATGCCGATGTCCTGATCTTCGCGCGCTTAACCTCTCCCGCCACCAGTTTCTCTGCTCGCTCGTGCGCGTTCCCCCGTCCGTGCCGACCGTGCCAATAGCCTGGTAATCTTATTTCGGAGAATATCATGTGTGATGCGTGGAGAGTGTCAGACGCGCTTTACCGCCGGACGACGGGCGTAATCTAGTATACACAGCATGGGTCTCTCCCAAGTGGCCGCGCTCGCACGTCAGTCGTCTAGTGTACACGGAATGGGTCTTTTCCAACTAGCCGCGCTCTCACGTCATTTTTGGTCAGATACGTGAGGCACCGCTAAAAGTGACGTCATTACCGCCGCCGGGAATCACCCTCAAACCGGAAATACGTGAGCGGTTTAGCTGAAATTAAAACGCAAAGCCACACCTTTGTAAGCGGACGCAGGCTAATTGGGCCACTAACGGCATACATTTTGACCGTATTTTGGGCGGGGAGCACGTCTGTCTGCTCCCACCTGTGCAGGCGACGTTTTAGCGAAATCGAAACCGTGCTCACAGTCGCTGCGCTGTGGTGGTGCCCCAGCCGGATATGGTCCGAGGCGCTGGCGGAGCTGGCGCATGAGGCCGGCTCAGAGGTGTCCCGGTCGGCCCCTGGTGTCCCGGTCGTTCCTCACACGTCTCAGAGGTGTTCCCAGCCGGTTCTCACACAGCTCAGAGGTGTCCCGGCCGGTCCTCACACGGCTCAGAGGTGTCCCGGCCAGTCCTTTCACGGTTCAGGGGTGTCCCGGCCGGTCCTCACACATCTCAGAGGTGTCCCGGTCGGTCCTTTCACGGCTCAGAGGTGTCCCGGCCGGTCCTCACACATCTCAGAGGTGTCCCAGCCGGTCCTCACACGGCTCAGAGGTGTCCCGGCGGGTCCTCACAGGGCTCAGAGGTGTCCCGGCCGGTCCTCACACGGCTCAGGGGTGTCCCGATCGGTCCTGACAAGGTTCAGGGGTGTCCCAGCCGGCCCTGACACGGCTCAGAAGTGTCCCGGCCGGCCGTGGCAGGCTCAGGGGTGTCTCGACCGGTCCTCACACGGCTCAGAGGTGTCCCGGCCGGTCCCCACACGGCCCAGGTGTGTTCCGGCCGGTCCTGGCACGGCTCAGGTGTGCTCCGGCCGGTCCTGACACGGTTCAGGTGTGTTCCGGCCGGTCCTGACACGGCCTCAGGAGTGTTCTGGCCGGCCCTGACACGGCTCAGGGGTACCCCAGCCGGTGTGAAATTGAAGGCCGTCCTCCGGCTCGAGCCCGGCTCGCATGAGCTACCCCAGACAGATTTAGACCGGCGAACAAACAGATCAAGCGGCACGCAGATGGAGCGTAATCACACATGTGAAAGCACGACTGCGGCTCACAACAAAGCAATCTGTTGTTAGATTTGTTGTGGCGCCCAGCCCAGCTCAGCCCAGCCCAGCCCAGCCCAGCCAGCCCAGCCAACCCAGCCAGCCCAGCCCAGCCCAGCCCAGCCCAGCCCAGCCCAGCCCAGCCCAGCCCAGCCCAGCCCAGCCCAGCCCAGCCCAGCCCAGCCCAGCCCAACCCAGCCCAGCCCAGCCCAGCCCAGCCCAGCCCAGCCCAGCCCAGCCCAGCCCAGCCCAGCCCAGCCCAGCCCAGCCCAACCCAGCCCAACCAGCCCAGCCCAGCCCAGCCCAGCCCAACCCAGCCCAGCCCAGCCCAGCCCAGGCCCTGGGCCACCATGCTAGCTGCGTCGAGCGGGAGCTCATGGAAAACCTGGGATCGAGGCTAACGGCGACATTGGCGCAGGCTCGTCACGTTTGCTCCCGTTACTCAAGCGTTGTAAGCAGACCACTGTATCCCACGCTGCCGACACGCAGCCGTCACCTCCGTGACGCGAAACCCGGCCTTGTTACGCACTGCCTGAATGCGATAGCTACTGAGTGGAGCGGGGATGTCAGCGCTACGATCCAGATCATTGTTAAGGGGTCCAAGTGGTTGTAGGCTAGGGGCGGCAAGCGAAATTGAGGATGAAACGCTGGGCGTTCTCAAACTGTGCGCGGTACGGATATCTCGCGCGGCACGATCTGAATGCATTTCACCGAATTTGAGACCCGCAAAGCTTGCGCAAAATCTAGCGCTCCACCTGACACCCGAACCCCTATTTCAATGAAACCTTCACATTGGAAAGACGATCTACAAGGGGTACAATATTTCAGGTGATGCATGCCCGTTGCGAATTTTTTAACGTAAGCAGCTCTCCACACTGTCACTCAAGCGTGCAAAACCTGAGAATGGGGCATGTCTATCCAAACTGCAGTTTTTCTTCTGACAAGCAGTGAACATGAGCTCTGTCAATCATCAAAAGTTATAGCATAGTCGAGGTTCTGGAGTGATCCTCTTCAAAACATACGGTTAAGCTCGAAAACGTCGAGCACTTGTCTTCTCCGTCTCCCCCTCCTCGGCCCCTCCCTAACCCAACACGTACACCTTTACGGTGGGGCCACGGGCACGAACGCGTCCAAATGGAGGGGTCAAAGGGCTGATGCCAATGGAGTAGCGAAAGGTACCTGAAGCGGCCGCAACACTGGACGCTTTATCGTTTCTGCGGGGTTGAGACGTGCCTCACGAGGCGCCGGGCGACCCTCGGCGTGACGTGTGGACTCTTGTGACGAAGTGCAGTCCTGCGCGTCACGCAGCCGCGCCCGCGTCAAATGCCAGCGCCGGAAAACTGCGTCCTCCGCGCAAACCGAGGGCGCACCGGAAACGGCAATTATCCGCACCGGAAGCGGGGTCGGCCGGGTCACTGACCTGTGGAAGCGGTCCTCCTCCATGGCGCCGAGGTGACCGGCGCCGCGTGACCTGCGCCGCGGCTGACCCGTGCACCGCCTCCGGCAGCCTCTCGCGGCCCCTCCCCAGGTCGTGTCGCGGCGACGACTGGCGCGGCGCCGCCCGCCGCCAGGTGCCGTCACGATCCGCTGGCGCCGGCGTCGGCCATGGCTTTGGGCGCGCGGCGTGACAGCGCCGAGTCGAGCCGCGTCACCGGCCGCCGAACACGGACGCCAGGTATGGGGGGCGATAGTGGAGCAGCGCGCCACCGGAACCGCTCCACTGCGGGGGAGGCGAGGGGGGCGCCTCCCCGGCCCGGCCGGCCACCGGCGGCAGAGGGGTGCAGGAATGACGCACCGCCCTGCCACGCCGCACGGAGGAGTTTCCGGAGCGTGCTTGAATGCTCCGTTCCCGGCGAGCGCCGAGAGGGCAATCTTGGGTAATGACTTGAAGTGTTGAAATTTCAGTGGCACGCTGCTTGACACCTGTGGTTTAGAATATTACAATAATTTGTGTTGACTAGCAATTACCTTGGCCAATCTTCAGCTCGGGATTGGGACGGACAATACTTATGGACAGTAGCGTGTATGGAACTTGACGAAGTCAAGCATCAAACAAGGAGAAAGGGAGCCACAATTTTGGGGGCGCAACTGCACTTTGAGGACGCGTTATTGCACACTCCGAAAGTTTGCGCTGCGTCCGATAATCACCCACATACCTATGCCAGGCCATCCACTAAGTAAGAAACTAGACGACTTCTAGACACTGAGCGTGCCATCCAAGTACAGCCTGAGTCGATGAGTTAGTCCATTATAGATATCACCAGGACTAAGACTGCACATGGTATACTCGCGTCGCTGGACGCTTGAAAGCCTATGCACGAACGAACCAGTGGAAGATATCATTAAAATCATATCGAAAGGGTGCACCGGCACGGCGACTTTCCTCTATCCAAGCTTTCTGAGATTGTGCTTGAGGAATTGTCGAAAATCTTTTCACTCAAGTCATCTGTCACGACGGACATCCGTATCGCCAAAGGGTCGAAGCGTCCATGGACTCCTCGCATGACCTGCTCTCCGCCGCCCTCTGCATGCGTGAAATGGGGAGCAGTGTTGCGGCCGGTCCTGAATCGTGCCCAAGACCTACTGCAGAGATGCGGATGACATTTGTTGATGTAGCGGGTAAAAGCCGCTCACAAAGGCCCATCTCACGGATTAAGATGCTCCAGCGCTCAGGATAGCCTGTACAGGATAGCCTGTAGCGATACCACCAAAACACTATTGCAAGGTAGCAATACCAACAGAATACTATAGCAAGGTAGCAGTACCAACAAAATAATATTCGGAGACGGTGATGGCACCGGAAATGGCAATGATAACGGAAACTATGTCGCAGGTCGTGAACATCAAACTCACAGATATCGGCCGTTATTTGATCGCCTATGACGAGTGCCGACACTGGCGCCGACGACCGTCGCAATAACGTGCATCAAATAAATCATTGAGCCCTTTTCATGCCCAAAGCATAGGCGTAGGAACGTTCCAAGAAGTGGGGGGGCCAAGCTAACGGTGTACTTCAGGAACTTTTTCCGGAAAGTGAGCCCGATGAACGGGGGGGGGGGGGAGGGAGGGATGGAGGTTGTTATCGCTCTTTATTCAAATGTCATGGCTGTTATGCTAGATATGCATCTAGAGCCGTTTATCACTGGAGCACAATCTGGCCTATTCAACTCATCTGTCATTTGGCAAATAAAGTTTTCCAGCCTCCTTAGATTATTCATCCATTTTAACATTGTCTTTCCTGGGGAGGCGAAATTCCACCAGCGGATAGGTATTTTGGGTCATTAAGGAAGCATCTGCCTCCACAGCGTATATGCCAAAATACGGCCTGGACATAGGCTGGTGATAATTTTGGAAACGGATCGATGGCTCACAGTGCGACAGGTTTTTCATGCGCTTTCATTTCGCTGGCTGCTTTTCAAAAGATAAGACTTGCCGCAGCATTTTATGCGGGAAACAAATTCGGGAGCTTGAACTGCTAGAAACAATGTGACAAAAGCCATAAAACTGGAAATTCTCTCTTAAAAATCAAGTCACATAACAAGGCCCATCTGTCACATGTTCCTTATCTGGGCCCTGCTCCTGTCTGCCGTCGGTGGCCACAGCCCTGGCCCGGATGTCCCCCGCATGACTGACTGCGAACTGATCGTACGGCTGCTTTGTTGCATACTTTGGGACCAGCGTTAGTGCTACATGGTGTATGAAACAGGTGTTGAACACCTGCAGCGGTATCTTTTTTCGAATCATCTTCCCTCACACCACACCATCGCAGAAAAATAGCCTCCTGGAAGCTACCTGCCTTAAGTATGAATTGGCCCAACGGACACTTCATTGCCCATCATGCAGCGTATACGTCTTGATTCGCTTTTGTGTGTATGCAGAGGCGTAACCAGAGCCTTGCCGAGGAGGAACACAAGGTTGACAAAAGTCCATCTTACGGTGAAAAATCCCCTGATATGGCTTACTTGCTAACAAGTGGCACGGTTCCCTTCATTTTATTGTTATTTTTACCTTGTAACCGGAGCAGAAACCAGGAGCTACCGTGAGCTTAATTCCGTTTGCATTTTGAGGTCAATAGACTGCAGAAATCAGGCGTTGAAGACTGTATGGAAGACATCACCGGCACTCTTAACTTACAATTGTTAGTTGACTTTCTAAACCGATAGAATTTAGGAGCTTTGTCCATGTTTTATCAGGGTTCTACAGATATTGAGGACATTGCGAAGGTAGATTGTAGATCAATATGCTTGATCCAAATTTGAATATGAAAATTTGATCGTAGATCGAGTGATGAACAATTTGTATTAACATGGCCGAGCCATGTTTGTCCGAAAATGTTTACCATTCAGTCAGAATCGATTAGTGATGCATTTTATGTAACGTGTTTTTTAACAAGCGCACTCGCAAATCTTAGCAACAAAAACCTAGACGCCAGGCGTTGCAGTCACCGCAGTCCGCGGAGTTTTAGCCCAATAGCTAATACGTAGCCGTGGCCAACCCATGGACGAAAATGATGATGCTTCTAAAATAATTACCTTTAAACACTTTAATCGACTAGTAATACAAGTTATGTGACGTAATTTTGAGCCCGCGCACTCGAAAATTCTAAAAACACGGCCCCAGTCGTTGCATTCTCCGTGGGCCACGCAGCGTCGGTCTAGCAACTAATATTAAATTGTAGCCAACGTGTGGACGAAAATGACAACCCTTGTGAAAAAATATCCTTGGACGCTTCATGATACCAGATCGTGTATTTAGAAGGCAGCCTGAGCGTGTATTTCACGTGTGCGATTTTTAGACTGATTAAAAGAACGGATTGGCCCCTAAAGCCCCGCGAAATGGGGCTGGAATCTGGTGGTTGAACTAGAAGAATGAAGGAAAAATATACATTTTTTGTGTTTTCGCAGCTATTTATCTATACAGAAGACAGGTTAACACGACACCCGCCGTCTGGTGGCACTTGCAGTGGCCGACACTTTTCGGTTTTACGAAGTTGCAACCTAGACCATCCTTGTTCTGGCTCTCGAGGTTGCGGGCGGGCATGTTCAAGCCTTTTGATGTCATATGTTTCAATAATACATCCTGAAAAAATGAGCGGTCTCAGGCAAACATGGTATGACCTTGCTCGTTTTTTTAAAAATTCACTTCGACCCGCGCTATTCAACAGTAATGACAGCCCACTCTACTCAACAATAATGAGACCCCCTTATATCCTTCCGAGTAAGGGGCCTCTTGAGAAGAACACCAGGGGTACATTATCGATCCAATCGCGAAGCGTCTTCTGGCTATCATTCTGGTGGCACGGGGCGGGATCTCCTGGTCGATCCGGAGGCCATTAAAAGGATACATTATGGCACATTGTTCTCATCCCTGACACGGGAGGCCATCTGACCCGCGCAGTTAGCCCCGGATCAGCGCAGGACCCTCATTAAACGCAACAACATCCCTGGTCACCGCAGGTAGTCCGATAGTTGTCACATAGACTCCAGATCGTGTTTTTTTTTGTGTCCTTCAGAGATTTTGGGTTCTCCCTATCTGTAGATTGTAGATGAAATGGGGCTCCCAGTTTTGTATTAACATGGCTAACCCATGTTCGTCTTAAAACGCTCAAGATCCTGTCAGAGCTAATGACCTGATAAGAAAACTACCGTAATATGGTGTTAACATGCGTGCTCGCAATTCATAGCAATAACAGTTTCGACGCCCGACGTTGAGTCTCCAGGCTGTGCGGCGTCGGCCTTGCGGCTGTAACAACAAGCGATGGCCAATGAGCAAACGAAAAAGATGACGCGTCTTAAGGGAGAGGGTTGGTGAACTAGGTAAATCGGCATGCATATTTAATGTAGTGCAAAAGTAAGCCAACTGCAAACTTAATCTGAAAAGTGGGGGGGGGGGCAGTTAACATTGCTGCCCCCCCACTTTGAAAAGTGGGAGGGCCATGCCCCCCCCCCTGACCCCCCCCCCCTGACCCCCCCCCACCCCCCCTGGTTTCTACACAACATGGCCCAAAGCATTGTTTACGGAGTTTCGTCGTCTAAATCATTGGTTGCCAGCAGTGCGCCTTCAGACCAATTCCATTCATTTCAATTCTATCTATTTGTGCTGTGAGCGCGCGAGGTGTAAAGTATCATTCTCGAGTAGTTATTGGTATGCCATTGGACATGTCGGGATTTCATTTTTTTGTACCCTTCGTCAGCGTTTTTTTTCCTGTGTGCATAAATTTAGAAAAAGTGCATAAAATGAAATTAAAGGGACAGTTCATACTGAAATGCAAACATCTTGCTGTGGGTTTTTCGCAACGCTCATTTTGCCTGGGATGTCCTTGTTCTTGCCCCCGCTCTGGTGGAGTTTTCCGTAATATTATATTTGTTTTGGTTAGTACCTCTCAGTTTACGCAAACAATCGTGTGTAGCCAGTAAGATCAGGTGACTGAAACCGAGCATATATGTAAAGCCATCAGAAAACATAAACGAGGGAAGGCAAACTTGACTCGATACTCGTTTGTCCTTTTTAGAGACTTGCTTTTCAAACCAGAA